CACTCCCACACCCATGGTCACCCAACATGCACGTGATTCTCAGCTCTATGTTCATCCAGAGCAATAGACTCAGGTTTTTTCCCCTCAAAAGGGGTTACATGAGTTCATGCAACAAGACTAAAAAGGGTTCCTACGTGCATATCACAGCTGCACATAAGATAGCAGGAATACAGCTAAAATTACAGCCGACTACAAGCAAACTGAATCTTCCATGAAGAAAATATTCACCAAAGGTCCCTTCTGTCAATTTAAAAGCTTTAAAAGGCACTGTTACTCTGCCCCTCTGCCCTTAACAGCCTGCAGGAGCTTGAGAAAAAGGTTACAATTTGGATTAGGATTCTGAGACTGCTGTTGTGTAAAGATCAACTGGATCAAATACAGAAGGCAAACAAACAAAACAGCTGGAGGTAAAAGCCTAGAATCTTCAAAACTCCTGTCTTCAAACTTACCAAGGACCATCTCACACAGTGCTGGGGCTTTTCCAAAAGAGTCCTTGTTAGTATTCATATCCCAGCCCCATCACCACTAGGGGATTAGCAGAAAACTGGGCTGCACTGCCATCTGCAGAGCACATTTCCACGTGCAGAACACCAGCACAGCCAGAGCTGGACAATGCCTGAAACCCCAGGGAAGGAGGAAGAACTCCATTTATTCATCTACATCGCTTCCTTCTTTATTGACAAATAAATACCTTCTACTTCAATTATTGAATAAATACTGTAAGAAAAAAATCTTTCAGTCCTCTAATCCCAAACAAAAATAACCAAGGCAAACCTGCTACCTCACTTAGCCTGAACTTGCCTCTACTTGCTCATGACAAGAGCTCTGGGTTCACCCCCTAACCAGCTCAGAAATGGCTCCGCAGAAGTATTACACGCAGATTTAAGCTAGTTTCCTTTAGCCTTGCTACTTCCTCTCCTTCACAGTCACTGTTTTTCAGCTGAAGGCAGTTTGTGCATTCCTAAGCACGTACTGCAGCAGCTGGCAGCTCCCAGCTAGAGGAATACCAGCCTTATGAGACCAACAAAGGAGAAGGCAGACACTTAGGTGCTTTGCAGCCTTTGCTTTCTACCTGTGCTGTGCAACTGGCTGCCTTTTAATAAAGCACTGCAGCTCTCAGCACATAGGACCTTGGTCTGCCAAAGCCTTCTCTGTCATGTACTGTCCCACTGAAGCCAATGGGACAATTCATGCCACTGTATTCAGCATCTCCATAAATCCTTTCAGAGAGGAGCATTGATTTGAACACTAAGCTACAAAGCAGCATCCACTGAACTTAACAGCCCTGTTTATAACATAACGTTTATCAGCCTAAATACGTGCAAAACAAAGCGGAGCCACTCATGCCTTAACAAAGAAAAACCTATCCTGAGTGGTGTCAATATCCACAAGAGGTACAGCAATAGAAAAAGTTGCTAAATGAAATGGTGCAGGCAGGCAAACACTTCCATTTTTATTAGAGACTGGCATCTCGTAATTATCTCCTGATGGCAGGCTGATTACCTGCCGACTAATTAGACTGAGAGACTTGACAAGAAGAAACAAGTTGAAGCTCAAGGACATTTTGTTTTTCAAATTCACCCTTCCATTTTAACTGTCCCAAAAGGGACCCAAAGAAATTACAGTTCCTGATGAGAATTGCTACACTCTAAGAATTCTTTAGAAAAACAGTTACACAGCCTCTCCTTCCAGTCTCATTGGACTGGAGATAACTTCATATCCCAGATGACTAACAATACGTGTACCCTGCCAATCATCCCATTAAACTTGAAGACTTACTTCTTTCTTGATTCAAATTTAACAAGGCAAGCAGGGGGAGAAAAAAAAAAAGCAAAACAGCACTTCAAGGCAACTATCGTGAAGAATCTGGGCATCAGCAGATGCATGCAGCCAAACCAGCACAAAAGGGAACAGCTGTATCTTCAAGCCTTCTCTTCTCATTTGGCAGTCGCTCAGAATGCAGTGTCTGTTTACTGGTAACAGCTCACTTCCCAAAGCCTTGCTCAGGGGAAGCACAGCACCAGAGACAGGAATAGTCCAAACAAAACTGCTAACACTAAGCAGTCAATGTTTAGATTGGTTTCAGTGAGGAAAGCTTGAAATCCCTCCCCTCTTCAAGCAAAGCAAGATCTAAAAAAGAAAACAGAGACTGCATCCACAACCCTGTTTCCCAGAGGGTCACTTTGTGATGTCAGACACTAAGCAGAATAAATGCCAGAATGCTGCTTTAAACTGCTCTGGAGGATGAAACAGAAGGGGTTGAGAAATCCACAAGAATAAAATAAAAAGACACACAGTTCTATTTACTCACTGTGCTCCCATCATTGCTCCAGAGCCAGCAAATGTGCAACTAAAATAAATACTTTTAACCCCCTCTTTCTTAAGAGGAAAAAAACAAGGCAAAAATATATGAAAGAGGCAAGGAAAGAAAGGGTTTCACTTTTGATTTTTTCATACAGTTTAGCACATAAATTTCACTCGGAGCATTGATAACTAAGTCTTTAAGGAAAGATCAGTCACAGGATTATTTCTGAGATGAGTGTATAGAATTTAGACCTTACTTCAATCCTAAACAATTAATTTAAGAATAGAAGAAAGGACTGAATTCTTGATTTTGAAATCATACATTAAAAACTCCCTGATCCTTTCATCCTGAGAATCATTTTGATCACTGGAAGGTGCAATATCATACAATTACTTTTCTAAAAATGAAAGCCTGAATCAAAAAAATGCTAAAATAACTACTTTTTGTTCCTCTGCTACTTGGGTTGAAACAAAGCACTGACGGTAGCAGAACATCAATCTTGAAACTGGACAAAACCCTCAATTCTTCCTAGTGCAAGGAGTCAAAGCCCATTCTGAAAAAAGTAATCATTTTAGCAGCAGATAATCCCATACTCTGAGATGAACAGAACACCACTAGGCAGAGATATATACTGATACAGGAAACATAATAACCAAGAGTAACAGTGGATGACTTCATAGAAATAATAATAACAAAGAAACAACTCAGCAACTCAGAACACAGGTTTTGTTAGGGGTTTTTTTTGTTGGTGGTGGTTTTCCCTTGTGTTTTTTTTTTTTTTTTTTTTTTTTTTGAATAGCATGTCAGCAAATACAATTTTAAGACAGATCTACAAACACCTTCCTAGAAATAACAGTCCACAGTTCTCGGTTACTTTTAGCCATCTGACTTCCACATTCCCTAGGCATCTTTTAACAGTCTTCTTTTTCACCCCCTACGACATTTTCCTGTTCTGATCATTGTAATAAATAAAGGACACCACAGGCGATCCCAGAGAAAATTCCACATCTCAGCACAGCAGCACAACTAAGTTCACTGGATGTCATCGTCATCAAACAGATCTTCAAAATCTAGTCAGAAAAACAAGACAGGGTAAAATTAACATTTGAAATTCCCAGCTGCTATTATATGCAAACACCACACAAGCTTTCATTGGTCTTGTTATTGAGATTAAGGACAGAAGTCCAGGTTAATTAAGTACATGTACATACCATCAGTCACTACAAACGTAACATCGAGGCAGAAGGCAGCGAGGAGCAAAAGCAGACCAGAGCAGCATGCTCACTGCCACACTTGAATGCAACTCATTTAACAACGCAAATTCTGCAATTAAGTTCATGAAAGCAGTCTTATAAAGCAGGGCGTCTTATAAAAGCACGAAGCAAGCACTGCAGTCAGTCACAATCCGCAGGCTCTGGAACTACACATGCATTAACTCTGAGCACACAGGGGCTCCTGTAGAGCTCTGCCTTTACGTCACAGCATTTAGGCACATAAGCTCATACCTTTCGCAGACATTCACATTTGTGGTTTATTGTAAAAATCCCCTGCTTAAAATAAGCTTCATTGCCGTGAGGGTGCTTCAAGCGTTTCCCTCACAAGAAAGTCAACACAGACTACCGCTACAGCAGGCAACGCACAGCCGCCACACAACCACATGAGCACTTCCGTACATCCCACCCGCCCCGGGAGGCACGGCGGTCTCTCACCGTTGAAGAAGTCGGCGTGCACGGCCTTCTCGTTGGCGGCCAGGTCCATCAGCAGCCCCGTGCTTCCCCCTGCCTGGAACAGCAGACGCTGAGTGCCTCGAGCCCGTTTCCGGAGCCCCGCTGTTTCTATCCACCCACCCCCTCCGCTCCCACCTCGTCCAGGTCCACATACGGACCGGCACCCTCAGGAAACATCTCGTCCACCGCCGGCTTCATGGCGGCCACAGCGCTCTGCCCTCCTACTTCCGGCCGCGCCGAGCCAACTTCCGGAATCAACCTCGCCGCTCTAGGCGCGCGGCGGTGCCGCCTCTCTATGGTAGCCCTGGAGGCGGGGCCGCGAGGAGGCGGTCCGTGCTGAGCTCTGCTCCCGGTGGTGGTGTTGATACAAGTTGTGACAGCATTGTACAGCTTGCCTTGCAGTTTGTGTAGGTAACGGAAGGGGCAGTGTCTGTGAGCCGAGGAGACAAGGAAGTTCTGCTGAGTCTTTGCACCAGGAAAGTAGGAGGTCCTGCTGGGAATCGGTCGCTGAATGTGTGACTTACCTCTGTGAAAATTCTGCATACGTTACACAAGTAATGCATCTAAACTGAAGATCTTTTGTGTAAGCGATGCATGATAGGAGGATAACCCCTGTGCATCCAGCTCTGATTAAAGAATGTTTGCTTTCTAATGTTCCATCTTGAGTCTTAGCTTTCTGATTGACCGATTTAGGGTAGCACTATGACTGCTCATACAGCAGAGCTTGCTTTCCTGAGACAAACCCAGCAGCATGATAACGTAACAGGAACCCAAACCTCACCATATGATCAAGGAGTTTATTGATTTTGCACAAAAGCGCAGCTTGCAAAAAGAAAAGGCTAGTTTACCTGCTGCTTTCTAAAGCACGTAACACTACAGAGGCCCATTCACGTGGCCGCAAGCAACTGAAGGGGCTGCTCCAGCAGCTGCATGTTGGTGTGATGTCCCAGCACGATGGCAGGCAGTGCTCAGTCCTCACTTGCAGGCAGGTGGAGGCCGAGGTGGCTGCCTGCAGGCAGCTGTGCAAACAAGGCCCTGGCCAGCTCGGCAATCCTATTGTAGGCTCCCAGTGTCCTGAAGTACTCTACATAGGACCAGAAGTCACTGGAGGAGAAGGGCCAGTATGGCATGGCCACAGGTTCTCGATCTAAAATAAATCAAGAAAGGTTATTATTACAACATGAAGTATTGGCACAGGCACAGCCACTGAACCCTCTGTTCCCTTCACAGAGGGTGCAGCCAACTGTCCCATCCCAGGAGCACCAGATGGCACAAGGCAGAGGGCAAAACTGAAGGGACACCAACAGCATTGCAGTGATTCAGGAACTGCCGAGGTGGCTTTAATTTCCAGAAGGCGGAGGAGTGTTTAAAAGCAAGGAGGAATGGCGATTTGAAGCCATTTTCCCCGTTGCTCTTTTCACTCTATCTTCTGTGCCAAATATAAAAGTCAGAGATGAGATGAACCAAAATAAACTCTGAAAATGCCAAGAGCTGACCTGTCTCGAGCCCAAATCCAGGCCAACACAGAATCTTGTAAAACATAAATCATAAAAAACATAAACGCTTGCTGCAACCACATAGTGATAAGTGTCCTTTCTGTGCAGCAAAGCTAAACCCAGTATTTTGATTTTAAGCCCATTTGAATAAAAGGTAATCATTCCATTCATTAGACTCAGCTTCAGAGCAGGGTCTTCAGCGGGAATTAAGAGCTTTAATCAATCTTAGTGTCAGACCCTGTTGTTAATTTTGCACTGCACGGGCACAGACGGCGTATAACAAACCAAACAAGCCAGCCAAATGCTGTCTGCAGAAGAGAACTGTTAGTATCAGCTGAACTTAGATTCACTTTGCAGTCTGCTGCTTGGTCAATGTGAAAGAAAACCCCAATTGTTTATAAAGAGAAGAGGACATTGCTGAAGAAAATCTTATTTTCAGACTGCCACACTCTTACCTAAGAGGTTACCAAAGAAATACTTGCTGTGCACAAATAAAACGGTGTGTTCAATCCAAAAACTTTGGAAACAGAGATCATGCATTCAAAAAGGTTTTAAAGCCATAAGGAAAAAAATAGAGCATGAGGAGAAGGAGGATGCTGCTGGTTAGATGTGCACCTCACTCAAACAACAAGAGCAGTAATCTTGTTATGTGAGTTCCTTCTATGCAACTTTGTTTTCAGAAAGAATTTTGTCTGAACACACCAAACCGAGGTTAACCTACATACTGTTATCTGTAAGCCACTGTGAATATCGTTAGGATGTTGGGGGTTTTTCCTAATCAAAAACAAACACTCATCTGATAGGCTAATCACCCAAAGGGACACAGCAGCAGAGAGGCTGTGTTAAGGGATTTATTCCAATATTTCTTTCATCAGATTTGTGGCAATCTCCACAGGTTTTGCTGTGGAAGATGGTATTTCTTGCCAATTCCTGGACAAACATCCAGTACTGCTTATCAGGACAGCCAAAATTCTCGGAAGTCTCTCGTATGATTAGAAGTCTGGTGCTTTCCAGTCATGTTTTCATAAAACAGATTAGCAATGACTTGAGCATAGCCCCTTGGAGGGCTTGTCTTCAAGGGGTCATCATACTTGTTACTGTTTGGCTTTTTTCATTTTAAGATTGTAAGAATAGAAGCTTCGTCATTGGACTTAATATATTTGCTTTCTGCATTTACAAAATAATTTAAAAAATCACTCTTCTTTCAGGGAGATACAAACGACTCTTTGAATTGTTAATGATACATAAGAAAGAAAAAAGATCTTCAAATTACCGTCTCCTTCCAGGATTGATCGGGCATCTGTAAATAAACAGGAAAATCATCAGTTCCAACTCTCTCACAGGAGAATTTTCTGTTAACAAAAGGTTTGGTGCATAGACAAATGCTGGCAACTCCTTTAAGATACGTTTGGAGCCCTCCTTATAGTCTAACAGCTTTGTTTCTCCAACAGTTGAGCAAGGAATTGCCCATTTGTAGTCAAGAGCACTGCAAATCAAACATGCCAGGAAGGAGTTGCAATTAATACACAGGCAATATCTGATGCTAAATAGAAGATGCTGTTTGAGTGTGAAAATGTTTCTATATTGAAAAGTCAGCATGAATAAATGTAAGTAGTCTTACCTGTTATTGTGTTCATCAGCATCCAGAAGAAAAGGAAGCCAATGCATTTCATCTTTTCGGCAAGCAACTGTTTGTTTCTGAAAACAAATCTGTACAGCTGGAGATCATTAAAAGAGACGAGGAATTATGCAAAGTAAATCATTTCATCTTTTATTGAAAAATCTGCTCCAAAATAAAGTCTAGTTATCACTTGAGTCATAACAAGATCCAATTATATTGCATTACGTTTTGTGAACTGTATCACAGAGCATTAAAAAAAAAAAACTACTGAAGTATGAAGTGGTATTTATTTTTAGGAGGCATAAAGCCAAAAGGCTTCTCTGAACTGACACAAAATGAAGTGTTCTCAGAAATATTTTAAAGTGTGGTTGATTTACGTTCACTGTAGACATTACCTCTCTTCCCCTCCCCTTTTCTTCTTCTTTCAATAGCAACGGTCTGGAGCTCTGAGTCAGCCACAAAAATCCAAAAGGATTTCTAGTGCTGTAAAATAGCAGCACTGTGTAATGAAGGGTGGGGGGAAAGGAGAGAAACGTCACCGAGTTAGTACACCAATCTGATTCTGTCACCTTCACAGAGTTATTTTAATGGCTCACATTTGCATTATATTTCAACACTGTGCACACAGACACACACACACAAAAAGATCTTTGCATCAACTTTAGCAATGGCACTTTGATATTTTGAAAACAAATGCAGAAAATCCAGGATCACGCTCAGCTTATTACCACTTTTCCTGACCATCTTAATTTCTTTCCCTCTCTTCAGGGAAGTAAAATTTTAGAAATGTGACTTGTGCAAATTGTGAAGAGGTTACTGAATTCCTTCCTCACAAAAACATTCAACACTAAACGTCTTCTCTGGCTTTCTCTGAACCTTAAAACCCAGAACTTAAAATGCACATGTGCACCAAGTGCCCACTGGAGCCAATTAGTTTGCATTAAACAAAAAAGCAGGTCCCTGCTGACAGTGAGTGTATTGCAGCCTTCAGAGAGAAGGGTAAAACAAGCTCCTCTGACCCCCATCAGCTGCAAGCTTTCAGCTGCTTTTAGACTGCATCTACAAAAATCGTTTATCCCTTGTGATTCTAGAGGCTGCATTTCCCTACTGCATCTGCAGTTTGTTGCATTTATTGCTGCATTTATTGCTGCATTTATTGCTGCATTTCCCTACTGCATCTGTGGCACCTGACTTTTGGTGCCTTTGCTACACCGCAGCCACTTGTCTGCCGTATGAAGATCACACAAGGAAAGCCTGCCTGCCCACTCAAAGGCCTGGAATGGAAAGAACCAAGTGAGTGGCCTTGCAGGAGGACCCAGCTTTGCTGGAGTTTCTTCCTATCTACATGCAGAGTTAGATAGTCCTGCCAAGAATTAATTAGAGATGTTCTGAGCAAGGGAAAATAAAGAGCGCTTTGTAGCACACTAAGCTGTGCCAGCTCATGTGGAGGCTGAAAAGAAAAATATTATGAAAGCAAAACCTATTCTGTCTTCAAAGAGCTTTAATCCTCCTGTTTAATATTTCTTATTCCTGCAGGATGGGTCCCTGCATCACCCACGTACAGCCAGCAGCTCTGCCGCACTCACCTGGGTTATGGATGCTGCTGGAGTGAGAAGGCATGTCACTGCTTGGTGGAGCCCTTTGGTGCAGCCATGTGCTCAGGTCCACGGACCTGCACAGCTTATTTGATTATGGTATACAGACAGGGCTTTGCAGGCTATGAGAAGTACATGATAACATGCTTTGGGTGACGATGAGGGGAAATAATTTTGCAACTGACGTAGCCCCATCCTGCAGCTCTCCCCTGCAGGAATTAATGAGGTGCTGCGGGAGGATGACAAAGTCACCGAGGTTATCAGGGTCACTCAGGTCCCAGCAGGGTCTGCTACAACACTGGATGATCTTCAGTGGTCTCACCTAAGCACTGAGACTCACACTGACATACACTGGGATGGGCAGTGCCGCACCTCCACCTTATTTCCTTATCTTTTCTTAAGCACAGCACTGGACTAGAGGAGAGCTGATGAACGGTGTGAGCACTGCTCCAGGTGTTCATTGCTTAGCTCCAATGTGCACACAACGCAGCACATCTCCTGGGGCCAAGCTGAAAGCACAGTGTGTGCTGATTTGCAGCATATACCACAAACATTCCACATTCCCCTTTCTTTTTGCTCCCGGTCCCTTTGTTCAGACTTTACCCAGAGTGCAGTCAAAGCCACGGCACTCTGCTCAGCACAAGTGACGGCGCTGCTCAGTTTGCAGAGCCTCCTACTAATGGTCGCTGCCTTGGAAGTTCTCCCACTGATACGGAGTAACTGGAAGTGCCACAGTGCCCACAGATGCAGGCCTGACACAACAGTAACCACATATTCCAATAGATGCTATAGCACTTAAGAGAGCAACTGCTGGAAGAGTTCAGCAGTTTCATTTCTACTCAGTTTGGAATAAAAATCAATACCATGCCAGGCAGCATTTTTAATTTTCCAGAAAGGCTCGTTAGTTCCAAAGACTGTTACCAGAATTGCTGGCAGCAAGTTCTCCAAGCACCTTATTCTAAAGATGTTTTTCAGAGAAGGCCGTTAATTCACTGAAGCTTGGTTACAGAGAGGAAGCTAATAGTAGCGAACGCATCCCACCAACCTGTCCCCAAAGGACCCAATCAATATGTGCTTTTCGTAAATAGCTCTCAAAGCCAGAAAATCCCACATGCTTCAGCCAGCTCTGTCAGAGGCAGAAATCAATAGGAGCATTGAGGACATCCTCTTCAGAACAGAGGCACGCAGTGTGGGCACAGCAGTTGTTTGTACGACTTGCTCCCCTGTGGGTCCCGGAAGCACCAGTGCCAGGATCTTGCCTTCTGGTCATGTCATTTGTGAGGGGATGATTTACAGAGCCAGCCTCTGTGGAGCAAAGCAGTTCTCTTTGTTAATTAATGGGAAGGGAAGGGAAGGGAAGGGAAGGGATTAGAAAAACCAAGCTTACAGATGCCTTTGTTTCCACAATAGCTATACTGATATTCCTATAACTATAGCTAATAGCTCTACTGGTGTTGCACAGATTTGTGCAGTCCTACAGGCACTGAAAGGAACTGTTTTAAGGAACAGAATACACCTTAATCAATAGGCAAAAGCACACGCATGCAGAGCTCCGCAAGGACTTATTTTAAAACCAAACGGCATTTCAGTTCCATCTGATGTGCTTTGTCTTTGGTTTGAACAGACAAAATGTTCTCTGTAAGGCTGCAGCGCTTTTGCACAACAGAAACAACCAACAGCAGCGACACAGGAACATCCCTGGGAAACAAGTGCTTGATTATTTCCCCCAGCAACTTTGTCCAAAAGGAATCACCAAAAGGAGATCCGTGTGATTGAAATACGCTTTCTTTAGGTCTGAGTTGGCCTCAGTCTTTCAGGCATTCCTAGTTCTACCTTCTTTCCTTCTAAGGCCTTCTAAGCAGCTTGGCCTGAGCAGTTGTTTTCTGTGTTTTCCCCCAAGCCCATCCAAGCCAGTCGCATGCAGAGGATGGCATACAGCTCACCACCTAGCCAAGAAGCCTGGAGGACTTGGGAATACCAGTTACTGTGCACCCTGCATTCCCTCCAAGTCTGTAAGACAACCAAGGGTCACATGTCCATCGAGAAAGAATTATTTTATGTTTCTGACTCAAATGCTTGCTGTTCAGAAGCCTGAAAGGATAAGGGCCACCAGACCCCATCCCAAGATGGAACAGCAGTTGCCCACCATGCTGAGCTGAGCAATTTTCTTTGCACGAAGGAGTCGGCTGAGAAGATTCAAGGTCCTAGCTAGGGCTCATGTGCAAAGCTCCAGGGAGGTTGGTCAAACCTGGTGTAAAAAGTAAACGAAACTTAACAAATCAACATCTTTAAAATAGCTTTTGTTGGCTTTTACATGCTGAAATTCCTTGATGCTTCCAGTTGAACACAGAGCAGGTATTGATAAGTAGTTCATCATTAGATGATCACGCCCTGAAGAAGCCCACGTTCTACGCATTGTATTTTGCACCTGGTTTGCACCTGAACTTAACTTTAACGCACTATTTGCCAATATTGACCGAGAGCTTTAGCAGGGCCACGGTACGGCGGGCAGCAGGGCACGAGGCTCTGGCTCCCTCTGCTGCCACAAAGAGCCACAGCGGAACCAAACCCAGAACGTAGTGTCAGAGGCACTATGTTACCCCTAGAGACCTTGTTTTCTAGCACTGACGTTCCAGTGCACAACAGAAAAATGATTTATTCCCGATTTCTGCTCTAAGCGATAACTCCCCCCTTTCCCTTCGCAGCCGCCTTCCCTCCGTGGGACGCGTTGGGACGCGGGCACGGTCTTTCAACCCCGCCCCGCCCCTGCAGGCCATCGCAGCCAATCCGCAGCCGCCGCCTCGGCCGGCAGCCAATCCGCGCCGTCCTCCACCCCAGCTGGCTGGTGGCGCCCAATAGCGGAGGGACGAGGAGCGCGTGCAGCCGTCTCGGCCCCGCCCACCGGGAGGGCGCGGCCTGGTGGCCGTTGGCGGTGTGTGCGGGTGGCGGGTGTTGGGGTGCAGGCCCTGAGCGGGGCCTGGCCGTACCGGGGGGGGCGGGCCTGACGGGAAGCGGCGCCCCTGCAGTCACCCAGCGCCCCTCTGTTTCCCTCAAGTCGCAGTCATGAGCCAGCAGCGAGGCCGAGGGGACGCTGGGGATGCTGTCCGAGAGCCGAGGGCCGGGCCCGGCCGCGTCAAGCGCCGCAAGACCAGGGGCGAGCGCAACCGAGCCAAGTTCGGCCCCGGCGTGCGTGGTGCCAGATGGAGGGGGGGGAGGCACCCCTGGGTCGGCTTCCCTCCGCCCCGCGCCGCCCAGCCCCCCCCCAGCCCCCTGCCGCCCCCCCGGCCCGTCATCATCACCCAGCAGCGCCTGTGTCGTCCCCGGGGGCTCCTCGGCCGGGGGGTGGCTTCCATGGACATAAAGCGGTTGTTGGAGGGTGGGCAGGGGGAACGGTCCCCCCCACGGCCCCCTGCTGAGGAGCTCACAGGGCCTCCAGAGTCCCCCGGGCCTGTCAAGGGGATGGAGAAGGAAGGGCAGAGGTCACCCTCCCCTCCAGTAAGCCCCTCAGAGAAGGCAGTTGGTGACAGAGACTCCCTCAGCGCCGTGACCTCTGCCCGGGGGCTGGCTGCCCGCCTGTGTGCCCTTCTGCCACAGCCCGCCGAGTTCTGGGGACGCGCGCTGGCAGAGGAGAGACGCCGTACGTTGCTGGCCGCCCTGCTGGAGCATCACCACACCCTGCCTGACCTGTCCACTCTCCTTCCCCACAAAAGCGTGGGAGCCGCAGGGGGACTCTCCCACGCACAGCCCCCCGTGCTGCACCCTGCCTCCCAGCCACCCCCAGGGCTTAGCACTGCTGAAGCTGAGCTTCTTCCCCAGCCCGTGCAGAGCAGGGACCCAGCACTCCATCACAGCCACCCCCCAACACCCCCACAGGCCATCACTCAGGTGAGTGCCCCAGAAAACAGTTTCCCCCAGACACCTTTTCCTGTCCTCAAAGAGGTGATGCCTCTCCAGATATCATCTTTTCCCTGCTGCCAAACTTGCTCTCCTCCTGCAGTCACCAACTTCTCCATCCCAGTTCTCTCCTCCCGTTTTCAACACTGAGACGAAGAAGAAGCAAGTGAGTATCCAAACAGGGGTGACCCCATCCCCCATGTCAGGAGGAATTGATTTATGCTCCCCTCCCCACAGAGTTTGTTCCCCTGGATGTCAGAGGATGAGGATGACACACATCCTGAAAACCCAGCTCCGCAGTTCTGGGTCCAGACACCCCCACCGCCATTCAGGCCCACCCCCCCTGCACACTCCCCCATCTCTCACCCCCGTGTAAGGCATTGCACACCCGAACCAGAGCTGCTACCCCTGCCACCCCAGCCAAGGCAGAGAAGGGACCCAGCACCGCACTACTGCCGCTGCCGTGCCCCGCTGCAAGCTGTTGCTCAGGTGAGTGCCCCAAAGAACTGCTTTTCCCAAAAAACATTTGCTCTTAACCACCCATCTCTTTGTCCCTGCTGCCAACTACACTTTTCCTCCACCAGACTCCAAGCCCCCCAGCTGTCCTGCCGCCCCCTGTTTTTGGTGCACAGAGAAGGGAGAGGCAGGTGAGTTCCCAGATGGGGGTGCCTGCCCCTGTCCCATCACCAGGAATAAAAGGGATTGATTTATGCCCCCTCTTCCCTCAGAGCTGGTTCCCCTTGATGTTGGAGGATGAAGACAATACACGCCCCGAAAATTCAGCCCCGTTCTGGGTCCGGACCCCCTCACCACCACTGTTTAGAGGGCAGACCTCACCTCGCATCCCCTTGAGGGAGCCAGGCTGCACGTGTGGGGTAGCATGGGATCCCAGGGCAGGGGACGCAGCTGAGGGGCATGGCCAGATCCGCCAACGGTCCCGTGTACCACAGTGTCACCGGGCGTCACAGCATCCCTTGGCAGGGCTGCAAACCTCCCCACAACCCCATCAGTGCCGTGGGAACAGGCAGACACTCCCTGCCTTGCACCGGGGGACATGCCCTTGTGCTCCCTCCCCACCGCGTCACCTTCACAAGCACAGCCCTTGTCCCCACAGCTGGCCGCACCCCACTTCAGACCTCCCCATGTGCCGCTGCTTGCCCCCCACCAGCTACCAGCTGCAGGGCTGCAGGGGTCCCACAGAGCCGCGGCACAGGGGACGGCACTTGTCCTGCTGCCCCCGCAGTGCCGCTCCCCGCAGGGCAGGGGATGGGGACTCCAGCCCTAACGCCTGGCTCTTCCCCTGCATGTACTGAGGGCGCAGCAGTGCGGAGGAAGACTCGCTTTATTGGGGTGCCCCTCCCCGTGCTCAATAAAGGCTGTTATGCCCTATGGCTCTTTCTCTGATGTTTCCTTCTGATCTTTCCTTCCTCCCCAGCTCCTCCTCAGTCCACAGCGGGTTGGGTTGTGAATATGAGATGGTGAATGTTGACAATCTAGGTTTTTTACTTTGCTGACATCTCCTAAATCTGCTAAATCTCCTGAATCTGCATGCCACCAAAAATGACACCAAAGCATATACGTGTCAGCGTACATCTGCTGATTAGGAGTTATTTAGTGGATCAACACCAGCTTTCCATTCCTTGGGTTTACAAGACTGACCACACATGCAGAATGCCAGGAGAACAATTCCTCTACAAAGATGTGTGTGACCTAACTCAGATTTTGGGGGCACTGGCATGTAATGCAGGTGCCATGCCTGTCGCCTGATGATGAGGAATCTGGACGGTCAGCACCTTTGGGTTCAGGCTCACCTTAATACACCAGACTGGTGTATTGTCTCCAGGAGAAGCAAACCTTCTTGGTGTTGTTTTCATCATTTTCCATCACATTTGCAGAGCCACATTCCAGACTGTTAGGGATATGAGCATGGGTGGAAAGGCCTGATTTTATTACTGAAGTGATTGAGTGCTATCTAAGTCGAGACTGCTACTCTAGATGACTGGGCCCAGAGGTCACCAGTGCACGGAGCAGGGGGATGTTCCAAGCCCTGCTCCATCTGTCTCAGCTTGCCGGCCTGCATTGGCACAGCCGCTCAGGCTGCGTCCAGTGCTGTGCTGCTACCAGGGCCCAGCACCTGCTGTGCCAATGGCCCAGAGCTACCATCTTGTGCTGACGACCCAACGCCGCCATCTTGTGCCCAGCACCCAGAGCCGCCATCTTGTGCCTGGAGTCCTGGCCTCAGGGTAGACTCCATCCTGACCCAGGGCTGGAGCCACAGCTTGAACAGAAGCAGTGGTGGAGCATTTCTACTCACACTTCTGCAGCTCTTTGGCTGTGTGTGGGGCGCACAGCCCTGCCAGGCTCCACCACTGTACAATGGACACAACGCAAGCCCCCACGGGACACTGCCATCAAGGACAGCTTGTGGCAGCGCAGGGTCCTGCAGGGAGAACCAGCCACAGGTAACCACATGCACTGCTGCACTGTGCTCTGCTCCTGAGCAGGTAGACAGGCCTCAACTGGTATTGGCAGACCTAATTACTATGTGATTAAATGCTTACTGATCCCCGCACAATGCCTTGTCCTGCAGTCTTTCCCATGGCGTACAAGGGTTCCATGTGGGTCCCACTGGGCCACAGTGGTTTTGGCATACACAAAAATGCAATAAAAACCACTGTCTCCAGAAAGCCAGCCAGCTGAGGGCGGATGAACAGTTGCATTAATGTGTAATTATTGTGCAGTCCTGGCTTCCCTTCTTTTGGCAGAGCAGCATTAATTACAACTGATCTGTGAAACATTGCACATGGATTTTATTTACTGCCTTATTAATGGCATCTGTTATTCCAGCAAATCTCAGCAGTTTGCTCTTGTTCAAGGAAATGACAAAAACCCGCTGCACAGAGGGCTGTTGCTAACTTGCATGCTTTGGCTAGGAAGGAGCTATAGGATGTGGCCAAAACACCACATTTTCACTCAGACTGTGTGCTCGTTCAATGCGTTGCCCCAGCATCTCAGCGCATTGCAACATGAAGGAGTGGACACAGCTTCAGCCAGCAGATCTGAGGGCTGTGCCTGCGATGGATAACTGGCAATATCAACCTTCCCAGCCTGCCCACAGCATGACCCAAGGGGCTGCCGGCACTGGGCTGCTGAGCGCCCCCAGACTGCAGGAGAAGCGTGACTCAGGCAGACTCAAGGCTCGCCTTTGTGCTGCAGCTTTCAGCAGTGCACAGGGACTGCTGCTGCAGCCTGATTTGCTGGGAGGCTGCCAGCCGCCCTGTCTTCTCCTCCTCTCTGCAGGCAGCTTGCAGGCAGCTCTGCCCTGTTCTCCACTCACCGCTGCGTCTTGAGCGACGAGATGACCTGCCACGGGACATGGCAGGCTGACATCCCCACGGCAGGCATGGAGTAGAGAAGCTGGTGATGCAGGTGGAGGATGCTGTGGGGAAGGTATGGCTTGTGTCTGTGGGGAGCAGGGAGGGGGGCTGGCATGGTCTGCAGGCAGTTTGCAGCACCTGCATTGCATCCTTGTCCCTGCAAGGTGCTGTGACTATCCTGCTTGGGGGAGGGGTGACCCCAGGGTGAGGGGCTGCATGCTTCCTGCAGTGTGTAGCCGAGCTGGGGGCAGGCAACCTGCACTCTGCCGTTGTCCCCAGGCCCCGAAGGACACTTTTCTGAGTGCTGCCCCGTGGGTTCCTGGCTGCTTCTCACCTGCAGCAGAGCTGAGCTTGGGTGTGCAGTGCAGCCATTATTCTGCTCCACCGCTCCTTCCTGACACCAGGAAGTCCTCCCAGCCCTTATCGTCCTGGCTGTGATGCGGGGTTCGGCTGGCAGCCAGAATCCTTGTTAAGCTCAGACCTGCTGACCCGCTGCTTTGCCATTGCCTTAACAGAGTGCTGTGCTCAGTCTGACTGCAGCCCTTTCTGCCCCAGCTCTGCCTTCAGCTCACGTGCATCCTTTTCCTTTGCTGCATTCAGGATGGAGATGTGCAGCACCTCCCCCCTTAGGAACAGGAGAGAGGAGCAGCCATGGCGGTGCGTGGCCGGCACACCAAGGTGCTCCCCTCCCAGCTGAACAAAGTGTGCCCTGAGACAGGGGACGGCCCCACCATGCACCCCAGGGAGGTGAGCGACTTCGAGGTGGTCCCCAACCTCCAGCAGAGCAGCAGCAGCATTGGCAAGGGCCAGAGGAAGGCACATTTCCCCTCTGGCAGCAATGAGAAGGCAAGTTGGAGGTCTGGAGCTGGTAGAGGTGGGAGCTGGCCATACGTGGTGGGAGAATAGTTGTCCTGGGACACATCAGTGAGGAATCTCAGGCTGGGGGGAGCACTAATAAGGCCCCTAGGTTTGCTGAAAGCACCAGCATCTGGCTCCTGGTGCAAGTTCTGACCCTTCGCAGAAACAATGACCCCTCACTGCTCTTCCTGCTCCCTCAGGAAAATCTCACCTCATGGATTCCTGAAAACATCCGTAAGAAAGAGTGCACATACTTTGTGGAAAGCTCCCAGACCTCAGACTCTGGGTAAGTCAGACTGTCCCTCCTTCCTCTCCCCTGCCTGGGAACAAAAGGAACGTCTGATGACAAAGCTGCCTCACTAGAAAATCCCACCTTTCTGTTAGGGGAACTGGTATGCCAAGGGAATTCACCAAGACCTTCTTGCCTGTGTTCCTTCATCCTGCTCTGTGGCACTGCATGGCCAATAGCCAGCTTCCCAGGCAGTTACCCTTCTGATGCTTGCCATGCAGTCACTTCCATTCATACTTTATCCAGTGCAACCTTCCACTTTCTGTCATAAGCCACCATAGATGGAAATACCAATGTTTGCTATGTTTTCTGCTAGAAAAAGCCCTTGTTTCTTCGTAAGTCCTGAGCTGGAAGTCAGGTTGGGTGGGAGGTGCTGGTGCCTGTAGTGTTTTAATGATGATGCCAGCACCTTCCAGCTGGGTTGAGGCAGGTGAACCACTGGGGCTTTGCCCTTTGAGACTGGCTCGTTTCCCACGGAGCTGGTGGTGTACATTGCAGGAGGGTGGTGTGCGAGTGTGGCTACCTCAGGGAACAGCACCTGGAAGATGCTGCCAAACCTCCCCTCTTCCTGGGGAAGGAGTGGGACCCCAGCAGACACATCCAGGAAATGCCAACAGATGCCTTTGGTGACATCCACTTCACGGGCCTGGGACAGAAGACAGGAAAGGTGATTTGTTTCTCCTCTCTGTGGTACAACGGGAGTCAGTGTTCAGATCTTGCCTGGGAAGATGAAGTGCAAGTATTTCCCTCCTGATGAGAGGAGGTTAGGAAAGCATGGAAATGCCCCAAAGACAGCACTGATTTATGCACAGAAATGTGGATGGGACAACATCCCTCCTCGCTCTCGGTGCTGTACCCAGTCCTTTTCTGAAATAGTAAGACTGGTCTCCATGCTCCAAGGCATGGCTGTTCCCTGTTCAGGTACTTAGGCAATCATGGAGATGCAAGCTCCCAGGGACACAGTTTGGAACAGGGTCATGCACTAAGAGCTAGGGCAGAAGCAAGAGACCCGTGCCAGGAAATGGTAGGGGAAGCCCCCAGTTCTTTGCTGGGACAGGAGAAAGTGTGGTGGCGTTGCTCTGCTGCCCAGCCCAATTCTTTCTACCCGAAATACATGTGCTCCCTTTTTACAGTATGTGCGTGTCTCCTCTGATACTCCTCCACGGGTCATCTATCACCTCATGACACAGCACTGGGGTCTTGATGCACCCAACCTGCTCATCTCGGTCACTGGTGGAGCCAAAAACTTTGTCATGAAGCCAAGGCTAAAGAACATCTTCCGGCAAGGGCTAGTCAAAGTGGCCCAGACCACTGGTAAGACATGCTGCACTGTTCAGAAAGCCTCTCCAGTGCTGGCAGGGCTTGATGCAAAGGGCAGATAAAATATCTTCTGGGGGGTGGAGCATCTTCAAGGACTGGGTGCTCCTGCAGCCATACAGTGGGATGTTAAGAGATTGCTGTGAGCAGGGTCTCTCCATTCCCAAGCTTCTTTCTGACCTTTAGGGGCCTGGATCATCACGGGGGGGTCCCACACTGGTGTGATGAAACAGGTGGGAGAGGCAGTACGAGACTCTGTCCTGAGCTGCAGCTACAAGGAAGGCGACATTGTCACCATTGGCATTGCCACCTGGGGGACTGTGTACAACCGGGAGAGCCTCATCTGCCCCATGGTGAGCCAGGCCAGAAGGGGTGATGGTTCCATGCTGATGCTTTCTGAAGCCCCTTATGGCCTCCCCAGTGCCTTGCATAGGTGTTTTGCTTCTCCTGGGAGCAGACTAGGAGGGCAAGTGGAGCAGAGACAGGAGCGTGGGGCAGGGCTGGTATGAAAACCGCAGGGATGGCTGTTCTGCCTTGCATGCTGTCTTGCTCCCATTCCACATGCTGGTTGATTTGAGCAGCTGCTGCTGCCCCTCAGCCCCATCAGGCTTTGCCCAGGGTCTCTCCTTCTGTACTTCACAGGGAGGCTTTCCAGCTGAGTATGTACTGGATGAGGAGAACCAAGGCAGCCTCTCGTGCTTGGACAGCAACCACTCTCATTTCATCCTTGTGGACAATGGGACCCATGGGAAGTATGGAGTAGAAATCCCCCTGAGGACCCGGCTGGAGAAGTTCATTTCCAAACAGACCAAGGTGAAAGGAGGTAACAGCAACATATAGCCAGGCCAGAGGCAGGGGAGGGGACGAGGCATGGTGAGCCATCTCAGATGCTCAGGGGCTCCCTGCAGGGAGGTGACCTGGGCTTTGCTTCCCTGCAGGTGTTGCCATCAAGATCCCCATCGTTTGTGTGGTGCTGGAAGGCGGCCCTGGGACACTCGATGTAAGGAACCACTCCTGACTTCTCACAGCAGAGCCAAGAGGGGTAGTGGTGGGAGGGGCTCGGATTGGGAAAGCCAGGAGCCAAGGCAGAGGGCAGAGGGCAGCAGGTCTGCTCCTTGCCTAGGGATCACAGAACCATTAGGGTCGGAAAAGGCTGCTAAGATCACCAAGTCCAACCCCAACACATCCCCACCATGCCCACTAAACCATGCTACTCAGTGCCACATCTCCACAGTTCTTGAACACCTCCGGGGACAGTGACTCCACCATCCTGAGATTTCCTGATGTTGGTGGGAAATGGGAAATGCAGCTGGATAGGAGGAGTACTGTGGTGTAGCAACAATCTCAGCAGGGTTGCTGGCCACTTGGTGATACTAGGACCAGCCTCTCTGCTTTGTTGCAGACTATCTACAATGCCATCACCAATGGGACCCCCTGTGTGATTGTGGAAGGGTCCGGGCGTGTGGCTGATGTCATTGCACAGGTGGCTGGCCTGCCTGTGTCTGAGATAACCATCAGCTTGATCCACCAGAAGCTGAATGTGCTTTTCCATGAAAGCTATGAGCAATTCACCGAGGGCCAGGTGGTGGAGTGGACCAAGAAGGTGAGCCTCTTGCAGGCAGACACCTCCTCTCCCTGAGCATGTGGAGACCTCAGAGGTTTCTGGGGACAGCAAGGCTCCCACTGGGAGCATTTGTTCTGGTGGACCCCAAGAACAATGTGGCACCAGCCCCAGCTGGGCTGGGAGAAATGGTGGGCTGCAGATGACCCAAGGAGAGCCAGGAGTTGCCCCACACAGGAGGAGATGCTGCTGCTGATTGCCTGCCCATGGCTTTCCTTGTAGATCCAAGACATAGTGCGGAGCCGGCAACTCCTGACCATTTTCAGAGAGGGCAAATATGGTCAGCAGGATGTGGACGTGGCCATCCTCCAGGCACTGTTCAAAGGTGTGGAGATGGGGGCTGCCTGGAGGCATGAAGGAGATGAATGGAGTGGCAGTCCCAAGCTTGGCTTTGGAGTCACCGAAGGGCTCCCTAAATGCTGAGCTGATTGGGAGATGTTTCTCCCAAAGGGTCAGGCCTCCAGGGGGGGCTTCCAGAGAGTAAACAATCTTCTGCTCTAACGTATGCACTTGGCACGCAGCATCCCGAAACCAGGACCACTTTGGTCGCGAGAACTGGGACCACCAGCTGAAGTTAGCCGTGGCCTGGAACAGGGTGGACATTGCTCGGAGTGAGATCTTCACAGACGACTACGAGTGGAAGGTAAGGCAGTACCTGTGCTGCTTGTCTGCTGCATGGCTGTGTGGGAGACACCATGCTGGGGGCTGAGGCAGAGCTAAGGGGCTTTCTCCCATTCCTGACCACAAACAACCAAAGCAGAACTGGGCTCAATTTCCTTCACTGCTTGTAATGATCCTACATAATTTTTTACAAAGGTGGTTGGTATTTCATTCAAAACTGGTGTCTTCAAAAGACAATGTACCAACCCAGAGTCTCTTGACACCTAGAGACCTCTTGGTAGCCCTGCCCTATGGTCTCTGCCAACGCCATCATGCCGAGTGGCCAAAACCTTCCCCCATCTGAGCAGGGAGCGAGGTGTGACCCTGCTGTGGGGCCATGGAGCTCCTCACCTCTGCCTCTGCTCTGCCAGCCCACAGATCTCCACTCCGTGATGGCAGCTGCCCTAATCTCCAACAAGCCGGAGTTTGTGAAGCTATTTGTGGAACAGGGAGTGCGTCTCAAGGAGTTTGTCACTTGGGACACCCTGATTTACCTCTATGACAACATGGCCCCATCCTGCCTGTTCCACAGCAAGCTGCAGAAGGTCCTCCTGGAGGAGAAGGAGCACACAGCCAGCTCCAAAATGCCACGAATCCAACTGCATCATGTCTCCCAGGTGCTGCGGGAGCTTCTGGGCCGCTCCACACAACCTCTCTACCCCAAGCCCAAGCACACGGAGCGGCCCCGGCTCTCCATCCCTGTCCCACATATCAAGTTAAATGTACGCATCTTCAGGTTACATGGTGGCAGGGTTGTGTTTGGGAGGGGGGCACTGGCTGAAGAAACACCTCTGGAGGTTCCGGATAGCTCAGTGTCCTTTTGCCCACTCAAGAATCTTACTTACAGTCCCCTAAAGCCCTTCCCAAGTCATCTGCCTCATATTCAAAATGCAGCTCCCACTCTCCTACCTGTGCAGCACTGGGTGGCTGTGTGTCTGGTGAGCAAGACCCAGTAGGGTGAAGGACAGAGGGGCTTCTTGTGCACTGGGCAGGCTTGGCACATCCCCTATACTTTTAGTCTTAGAATGGGAGAGGCTTTTTCAGGATGAGCCCAGCCTTGGCCATTCCTCTCTGCAGCAAAGGCCCCTCCATTGCTGGTGGAGGAAGGCACCCGGGGGCCGGGGAGGATTTGTGTTCACAGGCTGTCTCCTCTAGGCAGTCTCTTGGCAGGCAAACAGGTCTGACTGTTGCATACCTCTCAGGTTCAGGGGTCAAGCCTCCGGTCCCTCTATAAACGCACCTCTGGCCGAGTCACCTTCACCATTGACCCAGTCCGTGACCTGCTCATCTGGGCCGTGGTCCAGAGCCGCAAAGAACTGGCAGAAATCATCTGGGCCCAGGTATTGCAGCCCAAACCCACCAGTCCCAGCTGTAAGGTTCAGCTGAAACCAAACCTCCAAAGCCCAAGAGGCAAGACTGCATGTGGAATCACAAACACCCCATCACCCAGGGCTTCCTACTACAAGAGCAGGGCTGTCCCTGTACTCCCAATGGCACTGGGTTACTTTCTGCCTTGCACCCAGAGAGGAGGACAGCATGGTCCTTGCCAAAGCAAGTTGTCCTTCCTGAGCAGCCAGCTTGGGACATACTCCTTCCCTCCCATGGAAACAACGACGGACGTGTCAGAACTGTCAGGGACTTGTGGGAGGAGGCTCAGCATCCCACACCCTCTCTGACTTCTTTTGCCCCAGAGCCAGGACTGCATGGTGGCTGCTCTGGCCTGCAGCAAGATCCTGAAGGAGCTGGCCAAGGAGGAGGAAGACACGGACACCACTGATGAAATGCTGGCCCTGGCTGAGCAATACGAGCACAAGGCAATTGGTGAGTGGGAGGGACACCAGCAACCCAGAGCACTCTCATGTCCTGTCATGCTGGATGTGTCTAAAGGGTGGGGGGTACGATGGATGGTGTAGAGCCGTGGCGATGCTCACCTCATGCTACAAAGCTCTTCTTGGTGCTCCTTCTGCTGAGCAATGGGCTGGCACAGAGCTCAGCCTTATCTCCCTGCTCTCCCAGGTGTGTTCACAGAGTGCTATCGCAAGGACGAAGAGAGAGCCCAGAAGCTCCTTGTCCGTGTCTCTGAGGCCTGGGGGAAGACAACTTGTCTGCAGCTAGCACTAGAGGCCAAGAACATGAATTTTGTGTCCCATGGGGGTGTGCAGGTGGGTTCCCAAGGGTGGTGAAATCACCAGGGAAATCACTCATCCCTGATACCCCTGTGCAACAAGCTCAGGCTCCATTCCCGATGAGCTGGACTTGCGAATCAGCCAGGATGCAGAGGAGGCTCCTCTATCAGTGCTCCCCTCCCTCCTCACAGGCCTTCCTAACCAAAGTCTGGTGGGGGAAGATGTGTGTGGACAACGGGCTTTGGCGGGTGATTGTGTGCATGATCTTCTTCCCATTCCTCTACACCAGCTTCATCACATTCAGGTACTTGTTGCAGCTGGGGTATATGCATATGGAGGCAGGTTCTGCTTCAGCTTCCTCCTCCAGCTGACTCATAAACCTCAGGCAGCTGAGCCATGCCTCCATCCTCACTGCCCTCAGGGAGAAGAAGTTGCAGCCCATGGGCTGCCTGACACGTTTCCGAGCCTTCTTCACGGCACCTGTCGTCATCTTCCACATGAACATCCTCTCTTACTTCACCTTCCTCTTGCTCTTCGCCTACGTCCTGATGGTCGACTTCCAGCCGTCACCATCCTGGTGGGAGTATCTCATCTACTTCTGGCTCTTCTCCCTGGTGTGCGAGGAGACCCGACAGGTATGGGGCAGACAGAGCAGGGCTTGGGAGGAGCTGAGAGGAGCCAGGCTGCCAGGGGACCCCTCTGGTGCTCCTGGAAGGTCTTGTGCTCTTTCCATGCCCTGGCCGAAAACCCTGTAGGCTCAGGTCCCCTTCAGGTAAGCAGAAGAGTCCAGTGATGGCCAGCAGCTCTCTGCACCTCTGTAAGGCAAGAGTACCCTATAGTGCTTTAACTGGTGTTCCACCCCACTTCTTTTTCCAATAGCTCTTGCATGATCCAGATGGGCTCGGAGTCCTGAAGATGGCTTCCCTGTATTTCAAGGACTTCTGGAACAAGTTGGATGTCGGTGCCATAGTGGTGTTCATCATAGGGCTGACCTGCAGGTGAGTCGCAGTGCTCAGGGCCGAGCTGCAGGCTGCAGTGGGCCCTACACTACTTCCACAACTGTGCATCTTTTTAACTCCAATTCCTTCTTCAAAGGACTGAAGATTTTCATAGCCATGTGATTAATCTTGACCGATTTACTGCTGTTTCCTGCCACTTTTAGGGGATGCGTTTTTCACGCTGTTGGCACTGAGATATTCCTTTCCTCTGTTCTGTGCCCAGGCTGATTCCATCAACGCTGTACCCCGGGCGCATCATACTGTCGCTGGCATTTATCATTTTCTGCCTGCGCCTGATGCACATTTTCACCGTCAGCAAGACACTGGGGCCCAAGATCATCATTGTAAAGCGCATGGTGAGGGCCGCCCTGCCCTGCCCTGCCCGCAGGGAACGTGCCACCCATCTCATCCTACCAGATGTGCTCCAGGACACGCTTTTGTCTTCACTATATCTTTGCAGATGAAGGATGTCTTCTTCTTCCTCTTCCTGCTGGCAGTGTGGGTGGTGTCCTTCGGGGTTGCCAAGCAGGCCATCCTGATTCACAACGAGGAACGCGTGGAGTGGCTTTTCCGTGGTGTGGTCTATCACTCCTACCTGACCATCTTTGGGCAGATCCCCTCCTACATCGATGGTAAGGGACGCCGGCCTGTGACTGTGTGGCATGAGCCTGGTGACTATTACAGAGCCACAGGGTGCCACGCTCGTGCAGCCTCACAGTTCCTGCACAGGACTCCTCTCCATGCCATAGGGTAAGGCCAGGAGGGAGCAAAGACAAAGTGTAGGGCATGTTCAGAGTGTTACTACCACTCCAAAGCCAGGGACTGAATCTGCCTAACAACTCAGGATAACCAGTCAAGATGTACAGAGGCACAGGAGCAGGGTACCAGCTGCCAGGAGCTGATCCAGCTATAAATTGCCAGGAGTAAGTGGAGTGCTGAGGACAGAGAGGATGATATGGAGTGGGCTTGGACACCCTCAGCACACACCAGCTGCTCCAACCCCTGACACGTTCTCAGCCACCTTGATATCCAAGAGCACAGCATGCTGCTTGAGAGACCAAAGGGCTGGCTGCAGTGGAGCAGTGCTGTGCTCTCTTGCAGGGGTGAACTTCAACATTGATCAGTGCAGCCCCAATGGGACTGACCCCTACAAGCCCAAGTGCCCAGAGACCAACGAAGACAACAAGGAGCCCATCTTTCCTGAGTGGCTGACGGTCATCTTGCTGTGCCTGTACCTGCTCTTCACCAACATCCTCCTCCTGAACCTCCTCATTGCCATGTTCAAGTGAGTCTGACCCGGAGCCCCGGTCCTGACTGTGAATCACGCTGGCTTTACTTGGCCCTAGGCAGGGCAGCATGCAGACGAGGGGTGCCTCCTTACTCCCCTGCACAGCTGACGCCTGGGCTCTGTCCCCAGCTACACGTTTCAGCAGGTCCAGCAGCACACGGACCAGATCTGGAAGTTCCAGCGGCACGACCTCATTGAGGAGTACCACGGTCGCCCACCTGCACCTCCGCCCTTCATCCTCCTCAGCCACCTGCAGCTCCTGGTGCGGCGGGGGCTGCTCCGCAGGCCAGCCACGCGTCACAGGCAGCTCAGTGAGGAGCAGCCCGTCCCCTTCCTCGGCTCTCTCCCAGGGAGATGAGGTGCCCAGGGAACTGACAGCTCTGCCGTCCCCTTTCTCCTGCAGAAGAGAAGCTGGAGAAGAATGAAGAAGCCGCCCTCCTCTCGTGGGAGATGTACCTGAAGGAGAACTACCTGCAGCACCAACAGTGTCAGGAGAAGCAGAACACAGAGCAGAAGATCCGAGACATTGCACAGAGGTACCAATGCTCCTCAGACAGGGACGGCCTTCCTGTTCTGGGTAGGAAGGATTTGGGAGTGGAGCTGTTGCTGCCCTCCTTGTTATGCATACAAGATGCTTGTGGGAATCTGTCTTTTGGAGGTGTAGGCACCCACACAGCATGGGCTGCTGAGCACCTGCAGTGGCTCCTAAGGAGGTTTTTCTCTGCACCATCCCTCCAGAGTTGATGTGCTGGCAGATTTGCTGAACATGGATCGGGTGAAGAGGACGAGTCTGGTGGAGCAGAGATTGGGTGCCCTGGAAGATCAGGTGAGGCAAAAACTGAGCAACTGCTTTGGGAGCGTGGGGTTTTCCAAGGACAAGGTTCAACTGAATCACAAGAGCAAATCCTTCTGAATCAGCTCCCCTTAAAACATTAGAGTTTCCTTGAGAAAACAATAGCCTCAAAAAGGCATATGGGAAGTGGAACATTGCGGGATGAGCCCCTGTACTGTTCATCCAGCTCTTCTCCTGGGCCTGAGAGGACCCTCCAGACCCTCACCTGTCCCACGCAGGTCCATCAGAGTGCCAAAGCCCTGAGGTGGATCATTCAGGCATTGCAGGGCAGTGGCTTCAGCTCAGAGGAAGATATGCCACCCTTGGGTAAGCACAGCCCCAGCAGCACAGCCCAAAGGGATGCCAGGAGCAAAGACACAGCATTAGAGCTAGGCAGACCCTGAGGCTCAGCACTTGACCTGTGAGGCCTTGCTGTCTCTGCCTTGCAGTCTCCAGCAGGACATCAGAGGAGAAGGAGTTCGACCCGGAGGAGAAGCCTGGAGAGAAGCAGCCCACACACCACGTGCTGGCCCGAAATCTCCTCTACCCAGGGTCCCACACCATGCGCTTCCCCGTGCCAGATGAGAAGGTGCCCTGGGAGGTAGGAGCTCAGGCGCTGGGGCTGGAGGAGGATGGGAAGTGGGAAGGGGAACAGAGCCATTGTTGCAGCGAGAGGGAGAAGTATCATGCTTGGGAACTGCTGTTCTCTCCAGCCCTGGGATGAGTGGCTTCTTGGAGATACTGCCAGTGCTCAGTGCACTGGAGCTGGGTCTTCAATGCACAGAGGGTCCAGGCATGGCCAGAGATGCTTCCCTGGGAAAACACTGTGGCTGTGCTCAGTGAAACAAGACTGGGTTTCACGTGGGGATGTCTGGAGGTGTTCTGAATGGACAGGCACATCTGGGCTGCCAGTGGGGCTGACACAACCATATGCCCTGCAGGTGGATTTCCAGCTCTACGACCCTCCTGCCTATTCAGCCGACCACAGGGACACAGCTGTGCAAGACCCCTTCAGCCCGTGAGTAACTCCTGGGGGGGTCCCTCTCCATCCAGCTTCCCACCTCTGCCCCATCCTCACACATGGCACAGCCTGCCCTCACTGCTGGGCTGCTTCCTGTGCCCAGCTCCTTGGAGTCTCTCCTGAAAATCAACTACAACACCATGGACGGGCTGATCGACAGGCAGAGCTTTCACGGCCTCTATGCTGTGCAGGATGGACTGCCACTGTGAGTGCTCCCACCGCGGGGAGGTGGGCGAGGGGGAGTGGGGCATTGATGAAGATGCTGAAAAGCACCAGTCCCAACCTGTGCCCATGGCAGGGGGTTGGAACTGAATCATCTTTAAGGTCCCTTCCAACCAACCCATACTGGGATTCTATGAATCAGGGATGGTGGTCCAGGTGTTTGGACAGCCTCCAGCCTCCTCGCTCTCTCCCACCAGGAATCCCATGGGCAGGACGGGGCTGCGTGGTCGTGGGAGGCTGCACTGCTTTGGGCCCAACCATGCCCTGCACCCAGTTGTGACCCGGTGAGCATGTAGGGATGCTGGGGACAGAATGGAGAAGGGGGCATGAAGCCATTTCAGATCAAGGAGAAGGAGCTGAGCATGGTTTGCAGCATAACATGGGCCTCTCTCACAGCTGGAGGAGGAACTTGGATGGATCCATTATCAGGAAGAGCCTGAAGAAGATGCTGGAGGTCCTCGTGGCCCAGTATCCCCTGTCAGACGTCTGGGCACTGCCCGGGGTAAGAGCCACAGCAGAGCAGCTCCAGCCATATTCTCAAACCATCGGCAGAGAGCTCCAAGAGCAGCAGTGGGTGATCGAGCACCGCTGAGGGCTTTTGGCAGCAGGAGGAGGGAGGGAGGCCCCGCTGCTGCCTGCTCCCCTCCACCTGAGTCTGGGGCAACCATGGGACGAGCCATGCTGGTGGCAGCTGGGCTGTGAGAGCTGTTTGGGTGCAGGGCTCACTGGAGCCGGGTGAGACGCTGCCTCTAAAGCTCAAGTGGATCCTGCGTCGGGAGTTCTGGCCTCAGTTCCAAAACCTGCTGAAACAAGGCACTGAGGTACGGGCACACAGAGCTCTTGATGCTCTCAGAGTGGCGGTTATGGCTCTGCTAATGCAGCAGCACTTCCCTGTGCGCAGATACACAAGGGGTACCTCGATGACCCCCGCAACACAGATAACGCCTGGGTTGAGACTGTTGCCATCAGCGTGCACTTTGACAATCAGAACGATGTGGAGATGAAGCGGCTGAATTCGGTAAGAGCCTCTTGCCTCTGCAGCTCCCTGCACTGGCTCCTGGCAGACGTGGGGCAGGTAAGCTCCCTGAGCAAGGCTCCTCTGAACAGACTGCCAGGCAGTCATCATCCCCAGAGGTGTTCCAGAACCTTGGAGATGAGGGTCGTGGTCAGTGAGCATGGTGGGGTGGGCTGGGGTTGGACACGGGGATCTTAGTGGCCTTTTCTAACCGTAGCGATTCTATGAATTCCTTTGGCTCCAGCCCCAGATCTCACTGTCATCAGAAGTAAGCTTCTCCAGCTATGTGCAGGGGAGGGGGAACAGACTCTGCCCATGGGGTGGCACCACAGCAGGGGCCCCAAAACCTCAGAGTGGGAGGCTGGCGGTGCTGCTGAGTGCAGCTGGCCCTGCCACAGCACACACATGGTGTCCTGATTCCCTTCCAGTTCCTCCAGGGCTGCGACCCGGAGCTGTGCATCCGCTGGCAGGTGCTGGACAGGAGGATCCCACTGCATGCCAACCACAAGCAACTCCTGCAGAAAGTCTCCACCCTGCTTGGTGCCTACTACTGAGTTCTCAGGCACAGCCAAAGCTGCTGCAGCCCTGGGCCAGGATCTGGCCATGTGAGGCCATGGGCTGCCATTGGAGGCCAGGCAGCTACCACAGCCACCAGCTCACACTGTCTGCATGGGCACTGCGTGAGAGCATGCAGGGCATCCATCAGGCAGTTCTGCTTCCCAGCCCACTCTCTGAGCCCCAGGAAACTCAGCACAGCTCCTGGAGGGTTGCTCAGGGTCTCTCGCAAGAAGCTGCCCTGCTAGTTGCTGTGACATCTGTCCTCATATCTCCAGTTGCCTCAGACCCAGTGATGTACTGAGCTGTGATCCAACACTTCTGAAGATGAGAGCAGCTCTTGGCTCACACACCTGTGGCTTTATACCTCCACACAAGTCCACCCTCTCAAGTCTTTTGTGATCCTACGTGTGTATGCTGAGCACTGCATCATAGCTGATATCCTTTCCTCTGCTAAATGGCACCTGCCTGCCCTACCCCCTTGTGCACATGGACAGAAAAGGCCAGCTTGCTAGGACACACGGGGGTCTGCCCTCTGCAAACACTGGGGCAAGTGCATCCATCTCACACATCTCAGCTCACCTTTTCTGCTGCCTGCCATAGAGACAGTGAGGCACAGTGGAGATGCTTCCCAGGGCCTCTCAGTAGTTCAGAACAGCCCCATGGAGGTGGGTTATGCCTTGGACTGCTTAGGGAGGGATTTCAGCTCCCCAGACTCTCCCCCTGGAAAGGGGACACAGTCAGGGCTGTTCTCCCCCACTGGTGGCCATTGCAGCACAACTGTGGTTTCACCAGTGAGGCACAGGGCTGGGAGAAGGGGGCCAGCTGGTAACGTAGTCAACGCTGCTCAATAAACAGTGTACTGAACAACTCAAGGCTGGCAGCACGTCACTGCTGTTTAAGCACAGCACCCCAATCTTATAGCACAAATCCAACCCACATGCACACTCACCCATGTTACGAGCTTTGGGCTTCCTGGATCCTCCCCGCTCCCTTCGCCCCTCACAGAGATACTCAGCAGCCCCTCACCAAGCTCCAGCTCTGAGTCATGCTCCTGTGCCACACTTTGACCTTAAAAAAGCCACCTCCGAATCACTGCTTGGCAAACTCCTTGGAAACGTGACTTGTACCAGCTCATGGACCAGATGGGAAAAGCAAAAGAACTCCAGGTTTTGTTATTTAAAACCCCAGCGATGACTAAGCCAGCCGGGTGCGTGGGGAATCTGACTCACTGCGTTTTTAAACACTTGGGGTTGATGAGATGGGAATTCATTGCTGCTGCTCCCCAGCAGCAAATCATCACATCCCATGTAGAAGCTGGCTCTGGGCTGGAGCAGAAGCTCTCAGGCTGTGCTCATGTCAACACTGCATCCTCCAGCAGTGTTCCAGTGGACCCTGACCTCAGCCCCATGCAGGGCATCACCAGAGGAGGACGTGGTCCTGAGTGCCAATTTCTCAGTTGAGCCCTGCATGTAGGAAAAGCCCTTGGGGTTTGCACTGCACTGAGAGCTGAGCTTTTAGAGGTTGATGTGGTCTGGGACCCAGGGAACCCCTCTCAGTTACCTCCTCCTCTCCTAGCTCATCCTGGTCTGCAGAAGTTCCCTCCTCCAGGCTTGACCCCTTCTGCCCCTGCCATCCTGCAGCTCCAGGCTCTGCAGTCAGAGCTCCCCCAGTCCCTTTGCAGGCGGTCACACTGCCCCTGGAGGTTCCAGGTTTCAGAGTCCTGAGCTGGATGCCTGGAATGCTCAGGAGGCTCTGGGTTTCAGGGCATCAGCATAGCAGGAGAAGGTCCCATCCTCACACCTTCCTTGCAGCCCCCGCTGGTCCTGCAGAGCCCAGGGGTGACCATGCAGTCCGGGAGGCCATGAACCAAAGGAAGAGCCCCTGGTACAAGCAGAGCAGCTTCAGTAGCCACAGCTTGTGGGGGGTGCAGCGTTTATTTGAGCTCTGGTTAAGCAAAAGATGCCCCCAGATAAAGGCAAGGAAAAGCATCCCCAACCCTGTGCAAAGGGCTGCACAACCAGCATCAGACCGGGCAGTAGATGCTAGTGATGTGCCAGCACACATCTCCAAATCCCTCTGAACAAGTGCCAGTGTCAGGGTGGCCTGCCCTGCCACCTGCACTGTGCTGGCAGTGACACAACACCTGCCTGCCAGCTGCAGCACATATCCGTGGCTTTGCACGATGTACACACATTGCTCAGCCTGCAGACACAGCCTGCAGCTGGACACAGAGTGTGGGGCAGCATCAGGCCCACGGGCCCTGGCACACCGTGCCCCCAGGCATTGGGCAACCAGAGCCAGCCTGAAGCCAGCATTTCCCCAACTTCTCATACATCATTTCCTCCCAGCACCATGCACCCGATCCAGCGGCACGTGTTCTTCTCAGGCTTCTTCTCCCCTGGCTTTGCACGAGCTCCAGCCACCATAGCAGAGCTCTGGGAGCCTTGGCTGGAGATGGCTGACCAGGGAGCTCCCACCCTTCTGTCCTGTGGCACGCACAGCCCCACAGGTACTGCAGCTGTCCCCAGGCTCTCAACGTGCCTTGGTCCATCCTCACCTCAGTGGCCAGCCCACTCATATCCTGGCAAGGAGCTGAGTGTGCCTCAGGCACCTCAGGTGGTTTTCAGCTTGAGCACCTTGGAAAGGGGCTCCTTGGCACTGGAGTAGAGGAGGTAGGAGCCCTCTGTGGTGTTAAATGCCTCCCAGTCTCTGCAGCCAACAGTGGGAAGGTGGTGAGCTGCCACGAAGCCTTCGTAGCCTTGCCACCTGTGTGGGAAGGACAGTCAGCTGGGGGCCTTGCACCTTCTTTTATCATCCCACAGTGGTTTGGGGGTGGGAGACACCCCTTGTGCCTGGAAGCTTGGCGGAAGTGGGGAGCAGAGGCAGCAGGATCCCCTTGTGCCCATTCTGTGCCCTCTCCGGACCATCCCCTTGCTGTACCCATGTCCCCCCACTCCCTCCAGGCCCATTCCAACTCCTGGGCTGTGCCAGGTTTGGCAGTGAGCTCACCCTACCCCAGCCATGCAGCAGTACCTGTAGATAATGCTGTTAATGGAGAAGGTGAAGCCATCAAAGGAGTTTGCTACCACCAGAAAGTAGTCATCTCCAACCGAGAAGAATTCCCAGTCCAGGGCACTAGGGGATGAAGCAAGTAGAGGTGGGTGAGATGTGCTCAGCCCACACTGAGCTCTTGCACCTGGCCATCCCATCCTCATCTCGTGCTTCTCCAGCTCCACTGGGATCTGCTGCCCAGGACCTGTCTCCCATTGCCCTCCTCCATGTCCCTTTGCACAGGCGGTGTGCAATCCCACATGAACCCTCCAGGAGACCCCTATGTATTTTGGGGTGTTCAGGGGAAGGCCATGGACTGAGCAACACCCCAGCTCCTTGCACAGGTACCTGTAGGTGAGGAGGTCCTGGAATTTGACAAACATCTGGGCAGTGATGTTCAGCTCATAGATGGAGGAGTTGATGGCATAGAAGTTAGAGGGCGCTGGGATCCTGCTGTCATAGCTATGGCTGTTAGCCACAGCCAGGAAGACTCTGTCCCCAATGTGGAAGACTTCCCAGTCAGCAGCCCCAAAAGTCTGTGGAGAAAGAAGCCACCTGAGAAGCTGTCATGGACATGGACTAGCATATGTGATGCAAGTGCTGGGAAGCAGTGGGACCTGCTGGAGGGTCAATGGGGAGGTGACCTGCTCTTAAACCCAAGGAAAAAAGATTTATAGAATTCAGAGAATCATTAAGGTTGGAAAAGACCTGTAAGATCATCTGTAAGATCTCAACACCAACCCACTCCACCATGCCCACTGCCCATGTCCCTTAGTGCCACATCGCCACGACTCTGGAACACCTCCAGGGGCAGTGATCCCACCACTTCCTAGGGCAGCTGTGCCAGTGCTCTTTCTGAGAAGTTTTCCCTCATATCTAAACTCCCTTGGTCAGTCCATTGCTGCCTTTCCAGAAGTCTAAGAGGATCAGCCTCTGAAATGATTCCCTGGCTTGTCCCAGCACAGAGGGGGAATGGAGAAGCAGCATTTGGCCGGTGGATGACCTTACCAGGATGGACTGGAAGAGCTGGAAAGAGCCACTGAGCCAGATGTAGATGTGAGAATAGATGTTTGTGGATGTGCCATTAAACGTGTTGGCCACGGCCAGGAAGGAATAAGGCCCAATAGCAAAAAATTCCCAGTCATAGGCTCCAGAGGTTGGGATTGTCTGGTTGGTTTCAAAGAGCCCCGTGCTGGGGTTCCACCTGTATATCACGCTGTCTATGTTGTGGTTATTCCCTGAAGGAGACAGAGATGTGCAATGAAGAGCATCTGGTTTGCAAGAGAAACGAGACCCTGCCAGGAGTCTGACTACACAATATTTCAGCTCTGGAGGGAGTGAGGGTGGTCCTTAGCCCTGAGTGATGTGTGTGTCCCCCAGAGGGCCCTTCTCTGGTGCCGGTGGAGCTGATGTCCAGCAACAGACTGGTCTAGGGCCCAGACTGGGCTTGGACTGGCTCTGAGAACAAGGGCTGGGTACCTTCTCTGTGGTTGACCACTGCAAGGAAAGCCTCTCCCTCAATGACAAACGCCTCCCAGTCCCTCGCGCTGTGCGTGGTGATCCTCTGATAGGTGACGAACTTCTCCTTCCTGTGGCTCCACTTGTATATCACAGAGAACTCCTGCCCCCTGTCATTCTGCTCAAAATTAGCCACTGCTAGGAAGATCTGAAAAAAAACAAGGCAGGACACTTCCATTTTCTCCATTTCAGATGTGGCCCTGAGCAGCCTGTAGGCAGCACAAAGCACCCCAGGGACACAGATGGAACAAGGGACACAGTAGGGTCTGCAGAGACCCACTGAGATGGGGCAGGGATGACGCTTTGCTCTCATTGGCCTCCACAGCTGCCCAAGGTTGGGCTGAGGACCAGCACTTTTGTGGCAGGTGTGGCAGCAGCAGCCCACCCAAGTGTCCCAGGCAGGGTGACAGCAATGTCTTGGAGCTCAGTGGGGACAAGGATGCATGGCTGAGTGTGACACCGTGCTGGTGACACTGGTTGGGGGGTGGGGGGGGTCAGGACCTGAGCCTCAAAGCTTCCCATGGGGAAAAGTTGATCAAATTATAAAAAAATAAAAATCACAGCTGTAACAACCAGATAACAGCTATAACAACCACATAACAACCATGATGATAACAGTGCCCTGAAAAGAAACATTTTCCAGGCAAAAAAAAAACTCCACTGCTTTTGGCATTTTGGGCTGCTTGTAAAGCCCAAAGACACACTCAGAAAAAGAAGGGATTTGGTTTTCTTAGAAGAAAAACTCTTTGGAACTTCCTCTTTGGAAACAAATGCAGACCCAATCTCCCCACCCTTAGCATGGCCCCAGGATCCCTCCAGGTGGCTCTGCTCCCCATGGGGGTTGCCAGCTCCCCCCATTTCCTTTCCTCATGCCCTCACCCAGTGCTGCTGCAGGTTTTCCAGCTCTTGGAAGCAGACAGTGCCCTGGAGGAAGCTGGGGTGAGGCGAAGCTAATGTTGGGCACCTGATATTTGGTCCAGCCCCAAAATAACCTTCCAGGCAGCCTCACCTTTTTGCCTATGGTGAAATACTTCCAGGACTGAGCTTGGTAGGTGGGGATGTTCTGATAAAGCACAAACTTCCCATCGGTCCACTTATAGATGGCTGATCCAGGGGGGCTGTGCCTGTTGGCAGTGGCTGCAAACAGTCCAACCCTCGGGATGGTGAAGACCTCAATGCCCATCGTCTCAGAGTTGGTCACCAGGTCCTGGTATTCTTCCACGTAGTCCAGCCGCTGCTTGACTGGGAGACCACAAAAAGGAGCCAGGTTCAAACTCAATAGCCCCGCAGTTGGACTTAAGTGATCCCTGTGGGTCTCTTCTAATTCAGGATAATCTATGAATATCTGGAGCCCCTTTTGCAGGGCCTGGTTGCCCCGTGACTTTGTGCAGCAAGGCCACCGCAGCTGGAAGGACATGGGGTCACTGTTATTGCACACACTGGTGTCTCCGGTTTGTGATGAGCACAGAATCACAGAAAGGCTTGGGTTGAAAGGGATCTCAAAGATGATACAGATCCAACCCTGTTGCAGCACCCCCAGTGCGCGTGGCACAGCTCTCAGTGAGCCTGGCTGTCCTGCCTGGGCAAACAGACCTGGGTCCTGCCCCAAGGTGCTGGCGGGGTGAATCCCTGGCCCTGGAAGAGCTCCCTCTGCCCCACAGAGCTGGGTGCTCACAGCATGAGGCTGACCATTACCTTCCAGCATGGAGATCCAGGCACTGCCATCGCAGAGGTACAGCCCTCTCCGGGAGGCATTGAACCAGAACTGTGCCTTCTCCTGCTTGGTGCAGGGCGGACGGGACCCCAGGGTCACCTTCATGTTGGTACCTGGGCACAGATGGAACAAGATAAAGGTGGGTACCTTTACGATGGATAATGGAGGAAGAACTGGGCACGCCACTCTGATTCTGATGGGCATCAGGGAGCAGGGGGACAGCATCCCGGCACCAAGCCAGAAACCTGTCTGCTCACACCTCCAGGAATCAGCAGTGTGAGCCCATCACTGCCAGGTTACCCAGGGACATCAAATCCCATCTCACCCGCTGGACCCAGTCCCATTCTCCCTGCAGCTGTGCCCACCACCTGCCCCGGTTCCCCCACCCTTCCTCGTCTTCCTAAGCTCAGAGCAGCCCACAGCTCCCTACTGACCATGTGGGTACTTCAGCACCTCGTTGCTCACTGCTTTCACTGGGACATCCTGGAGAACCGCAGGGATGGAGAGCGCTGTGGCTTTATGGTTCAGGGCTGTGCAGATGCGAGGGGTGGCATCGGCTCCTGGCAGCAGGACGAGCTGCCGCAGCAAGCCCTGCAGAACAGGATGGACAGCATATCCAGTGGGACTGAGGGATGGGAGCTGCAGGAATACATCATCCGAGCTTCCCACCAGAGGCCCATTCGCTTCCTTCTCCCCTGGGCTGCATTTTTCAGATGCCTGTTAGGTACCAAAACCTCTGCCCTGGGGCAATGGAATAGCTGGCAAGGCAGGAGCATTGGCAAGAGCTCTGTGACTTTCCCTGCCACCATGTTTCCCAACCACCGCTTGGGACTGGACATAACCCCTCTATCAGTAAGAATGTGCCATCAGCTGGCTTTGGGTCTCCAAGTGCCACCAGCCTAACAGAGGTGTCCCCACAGCCACATGCAGTGTCCCTGCCTGGGGACCTCCATCCCACAGCCATCCCGACGCCCACCAGGACCCTACTGTGAAGAAGCCTTTCCTCCTCCTCCTGTTGCCCAGGTAGAAGCTGGCTCTCTTCACTGACAGAGAAGCGGGAAACGGCGTCTCGACCACCCTGCGATGAGCAGAGGGCAGCGTCACAGCAGAGCCAGAGGAGCACCCCATCTGCTGCATCCCACAGCCCAACCTACACGTCCTTGGGGAGGCCGCAGTCCACCGACAGCGAGAAGGACTGTCCAGAGACGGCCAGCACCAGCGTGTGCCAGCGGCTGTCGGCCAGCGAGACGTTGCGGAAGGTGACACGGTTCTGCCAGCCGCCGGCGCGCTCCGGGCTCCAGAAGAGGAAGTGCAGCTTGCTGGGCGAGTAGCGCAGCCCCACCAGCACGCCGGGGCTCTCCTCTGCCATCAGCGTGAAGATGTACTCGTTCCTCTGCGGGAGGACGCGGCGCTGAGGCCGACACGCTCCGCGCCCAGCCTCGTGCCCGACGCAGGGCCAGGCCCGCCGGCAGCGCTCACCTTGGTGGGGACGGCGAGCACCCGCAGGGTGACGATGATGGAGAACTCCTCGGGGAAGCGGTCGCAGTGCAGGAAGAGGCGCGAGGCGGGGAAGGCCAGGGCGCGGGGCCTCAAGGCGTGGAGCTGGAGGCCGCTCAGCCCCTGTGCCTGCAGCACCCGCACGCCGCGGGCCGGCCCGCTGCCAGGGAGCAGCTCTGCCAGCACGTCCAGCGGGCGCAGCTCTGTGGGAACACGGGCATGCAGGGTGACAGCGGCCCCAAATGAAGGCTGCCAGCCGGGCACGGGCTCTCCCAGCCCAGCCCTGCCTGCGCACACGCACACGTGCTTCCCTGGCAGAGCCTAAAAACCTTCATTAAGTAATTATCCCTTTTCCCAGAGGAGAAAACAACATGCGCAGCCCCGGGGCATCATCCAGATGGAAAAACTAGCACAAGGAGACAGAGCTCTGCTTGCACACATCTGGGAAGCAGCAGCCCCTGATCCGAACCATGGCCCTATGCTCATCACAATTCCCACTGACGGGCTTTGGGCTCCTAACTGTGCTACAGCCTGGACTGCTTGGGCTCGGGGCAGCCAGGCAGGAGGGGCTGTGAGCGAGGCTGGCCAGCACATGTAGATGCTTTCCTGCTCAGCCTACAGTAGGGAACCTGCATTAGCAGATTGGACTCAACAATCTCCAGAGGTCCCTTCCAAACCCTATGATTCTCTGAACTAGAACCAGTTCTGAGGGAAGCACGTCCTGCCTTGGGCACCTTGCTTCAGAAAGGATCAAAATGAAATGCATGTTTCTCACTTCACCCAGCAAAAATCACAGGCTGAGTTCAGTCCTGGGTTTGCAGAAAGGTTTCACAGCCCCAGGATGAGCCTACAAGTGGGAAGAAGGGCAGGAGGTGGGCTGGAGGCTGTGCCCACATTCAGCAGCCAAGGACACGACCTCATTGAGGTGGTTTCCTGTTGGAATCAAAGCCGTGAGTCCCACTTTCCCTCCCACATCAGTTGTTGCTACCGATCACAGCTCCCAGTGGTTTGAAAAGCAGCTGGAAGCAGTTTCACCCCAAGACAAGCCATGAGCACACCAAATCTGGGCCCAAGCATCTAAAAACCAGAAATTTTCCAAGAGATTTTGCCACCGGGAAGATGTAGGATGCATCTTTCACCCAGAGATTCACACCACCTGTGCACCCCAGCTCCGGGCAGAGGCTGGTGATGTGCCCTCATGGGCTCCCCACAGAGTGTGTTTCCCAGGGTCTGCCCTGGCAGCACAGGAGTCCTGCAAGATATCCCAGCACCACCAACCTCTGCAGCTCCCACCCGCACCGCCAGCCCCAGCTCCTACCTGTGCAGTGCTGCCAGCTCCTGCCACCCCCGCCGCACGCCCACTGGAGAAGGACAGCCCAGAGCAGCAGCGGGGCCAACATGGGGCTGCCTTGGGGGTGCTCAGCCCTCCGGGTGCTCTCACATCATCTGTCGGAGCAGGGCTAAGGGCCGGCTCTCCTTGCCCCTGCGTGGGCACTGCCCGGCTGCAGGCTGTGCTGGGCTGGCCGCGGCGCACAGACATTTAAATGGGAAGACGGCGGTGGGAGAGGAGGAGCCCCGTTCCTTCAGAGAGCTTTTATCTTGTGCCCAGCCCTCTGCAAGGCGGCTTTTGGGAGGGATTCTTTTTTTTTTTTTTTTTTTTTCCTTTCACTTCCTTTCAGTTTTGGTGATTCGTTTTTCTGAGGTCACATGGGGGAAAGCAGGACATCGGCCCCTGCCCACAGAGGCCAAGGTGGGCACCATGCTTCCCCCAAATGCACCAGGCTTTCGGCAGCAATCCCAACCTGTACTGGGCAGATCCTCCAGTTTGCTACACCCTGCTCCAAGAGCCAGACCCTACGAGGGACATTTCCCTCCCTTGCAGGTGATGTCCGGTCACTCTGCCCACACCCAGGGCACAGCTCCCAGCCTAGGGCTGGGCATCGCAGCTGGACTTGCTATGGGGAGGGCAGGGATGTGCCAAGTACCAGTTTAGAAACCCTCGAGGTTACAGAGCTCAAACAGGAGACAGCAGTGGAAAAACTCTCTGCGCACTGCAAGCGCTGCTTGGTTCCTCTTGCCACAAAGCAAGTCATTTCCATCCTCCAAACAATTGAAATTAGCTCCCCCCACCCCAAAGTTTTCCTGCAAGGCAAACTGCAGAATGGAAAGCTGACGGCCAGCACAAAACGACAAAACATCGAGAAGCAAACCAGGACTTTCTTGGAGACAAACCACCAAAGGTGCACACGCCAACACAGCCCTCGGCCCAAACCGTACAGTGACCGCTGTGCCCCACAGCCCTGCAGTCACCCCACGTGGCAATGCTGCACACATGTGTCACGTTAGCATGGCCCAGCATGTGGGGACATGCGTCAGCTGCCAGATCTGTGCGTGCTGCCTGAACACCAGCAGGGAAGGCTTTCCACCAGGACACAGCTAACACTGGGGACTTCACTGGCTGAAACACCACTGGCAGCCAAGGAGGACATCAGCAGACTCATGGTCACAGCTGCTTCTGTGTCCTGCAAAAGCAGAGGGAAGTCAAGAGGTGGGAGAACAAACCTCATGTGCTTTTGGCGGACAGGGCTGGCTGTACAGCTTGAGGTTGAAGCTGGTGAGGAGAGGGACAGCAACAGCCCCAAAGGGTTTTCACTGTTCTTCAGCTTGGGAACCTGTAGATGATGTGCCCTGGGAAACCAACCTGCATTGTTAAACAAGGGCTTGGAGCACCTATGCCTGTGGCTGTGCTCAGCCCTAGACCCGCTCCTTGTCCCAGCAGCACTGGGAATAGGGCTGCAAAGCTGTTCCTAAGCACACATGCACATTCCTGTGCTCACAAGCAACTGAGAGAGGACAGTCTGAGACAGAGATGTTTGCCTAGTTCCTATGGGTTGTAAATAAAACCATGTGGCAGTGCTGAACAAAACGATCCTTGGACTTCTCCCAAAAAAGTTGGGCCATCCCTGGATGAAGAAAGGTTGAGAAGCATGTCTGTGGACAGCACATTTCAAGCAGAGCCCACATGCAGAGAACAGAGCGAGAAGGGCACCCGCATCACTGCAGGGGTCCTGCTCACAGCCTAATCGCTCCCTGGGTGCTCCAGAGGGACTCACACCAGGTCCTTCACATGGATGATAGAGAAGCCCAGTGAGGATGGAATGCATGGGTTTGCTCCTGGCTGATGCTCCCAGCAAACACGAGAGACAAATCATCACGTGGGAGCAGGCAGAAAACACAGTGCTGGCATCCCCCTTCCTCAGCTCTGCTCTTTCTTCCGAGTCAAGATCCTTTCCCACGTTCCCTGGAGCGGCTGCGGCTCCCCAAGGCCAGCCCACAGAAATCCCCACGCCAGTAAACCTGTCAGCAGCACCCGGCGACTGCGGCTGCCATTAACCCCATCCCCACCTAAAAAACTTCATTCCCAGAAATTTTGGAGGGGTTCTGCCAGGAAAGTTTTGGCGAAGGGCCACATGGATTACAAAAGGCACCATTTTTTAAGAATGCCACTGCAAAATCACAAAGCGCTCCGACTGCAAGCCTTGCTGCCAGCTTCCAGAGGCAATTCTGGTCCCTCCATCCCACCCTGCTGCAGCATCAGCACTCCATGGGCTCCCAGACAGAGCTAGCAGCCTCCTGCCCTACATGGGAAGCTCTCGGTGTTGGCCTAGCAGCAGACAGCCACTGGGTGACAAATGGATGGAGATACCAAAGCAGGGAAGCCCCAGGACTTGTGCCCACATGCCTGGGATGTTCTGTGGCTCTGGGATGTTCCCTGATCCTACACTCACCAGCCCTACAGCAGCCGGAGATTCTCTAACCCAGGCACCAAACCTGGTCAGGGCCACTCTGCTCTGCTGCTGCAAGGAGACACCCTGCCCTGTGCCAAAAAGCAACTCACGGTGCAATTGCACTGCTTTCCCCACGGACAGCTCGTATTATTGTTAGTGATCATTCAGGCTTTGTCAGCTCAAGCTGCCCATGTCTACAGGCCGGTGCCGAGGCACTGCCCGACATGCAAACACACTTCTTGGAAGAAGGCTGAGGGCAGCACGGTGCAGGGGCAGCGCACTCTGCCCACCCGCACAGCTCCTTCTTCTGCAGCATCCGGGGAGGGAAGGGAACAAAGAAGGAGAACAATTGCTATTGTTTCTGCAGACGTTCTCAGGGCTGGTTCCGCTGCTGCCCAGAGACGCTGGCCACACAGAGGCCCTGCTGCGCTTAGAGCTGCACTGATGGCAGCTCCCATCCCTATCCCAACCTGCTCACAGAGCTTAGCATGGAGCGCCAGGAACCCAAGGGCTGGGCAAGCTGGCCACCAGGCAGCATTGGTCTTGAGCTGGCCCGATAGAGAAACCCTACTGGGCCATCCCCCCAGCAGCCAAGCATGTCCCATGCTATGCAGATTCTGCAGGGCCTCCTGGGGCTTGGCTGTACCGCCAGGTCCAGGAGCCTCCTGCAAGAAACGCCCAGTCCTGGAGAGCCGTAGCGCTGGGCAAGCCTTGCCCCCGCATGAGATTTCACCCACCTGAAGTTGTTGTCACGCCAGCCCAAATTTGGGTTGCAATTTGCCAAATTGTTTTGGCATGGGAAAAAAAAAACCTGCTTTGGGGCAAGACAGCTAACCTGGCTGTGGGCGGAGAGACTGCCAGCAGCCGGCCCAGCATCCAAGAGCGTGGGTGCCCCACACCCCCCGGCATGCTGCATCTTGCAGCCTGCTGCTTTGAACCCACCTCCTGCAGCCCCCAGCCTCTCAGCCCACAGGTGCCCAGTTCTGTGCAGTGAGGGGAGGCTGGAGCTCACGCACGGCAGCTGCCCTGTAATAACCCACCGTCCGTATCATTACCATTAATTATATATTAACATACCCCATAATCTGCGTTGCTGCTGCAGTTCCATCCCAGGGTGTGAGCTGCTTTCAAAAGCCACAGTATGGGACTGAGTCAGCACAAATTGTGTCACCTGATTCAGGTAGTGGCGATGGACCCAGTGCTGAGCTCCTTCATCCTGCTGTCAGCCATGGCCTTACTCAGAACAACATGATGCAGTGCCCTACAAGTGGATGGTGCATGGTCAGGAGCCCCAGGAAGAAATACTGCAGGAATTGCTCCTGCAAGTCTGCCCTCCTATTAAACTGCTTTATGTGAGTAAGAAGAGCTCAGTATTTACAGGTCTTGTCGCATAGTTTGCATCTTAAGAACAGTTAAACAACAAACTATGCTGAATCTAACACTCTGTTGTGCACCCCTGATCTGCAGCCAAGGCCACGCTGCAGGTGGCTGTGCCTCTCTGCTCTCCCAGAGGCAGAAGACACACAGCATCCTTCCCAAGACACAACACAGGTCAGAGGAAAGCAAGAACCTTCCAGAGATGCAGAGCTCCATCCTGAAGGCAGCACACCGCCTTCCTTCCATTCACATCCAGCCAAAAAAAAAAAAAAAGAAAAAAAAGCAGGAGAGCACCCTCTTGATTGCTCTGCCCTGGAGCTGCAGCCCTTTCATGTGGTTCCAATGCCTCTCCCGCAGCAGTTTGCACTTTCAAAGAACGGCGTGCAGGCACACACACACAACACAATTACTGAATGGCTTGCATCCCACTGTGTGTGTTCTGACACTGCTCCTTTTGCCAAGAAGAAAAAAAGCACACGCATGTATATGTAGGCATACACAAAGGCTCTCGAAAAGACACTGCTTGCATCTTTACGGCTCTGTTGAGTCTTTACATACAGATAGATAGATATAAGCCTAAGGCAAATATAACCCACAGAAAGAGTTTTTATGTCTTTTTTTTTTTTTTTAATCTTTAATACCTTGCTTGCATGCGTAACACCTGTAGCATTCTGACACTCCCCAAGGAATGTATTTTATAGTAACTGTTGCAGGCAGAAAAAAGGCAACGGCTCAGAAAATTATTGCTACTGGCTAGCATTACACACCTTGCTAGCGTGAGTACTCTTTCAAGGAGAGGATTAAGCTTTCAGGGGAGGCTATTGCAGCATCCAAGTGGCAGCTTTACAAGCAGGAAGGCCAGGGTGTTCCCCAGACAACTGTCTGTGCATGGAAACTCTCAGTGCAGGCTGCGCTGAGCTCTGCTTGAGAGCTCTGTTTTGGGGGCACTGTCCAATTCCTCCTGAGAATCTCCAACTAATTGTCCTTCCCCAACCTGACATCTGCTATCGGCACTCGGGATGATACACAGCAGCTCATGATTCACCTGTTGCCATAACAAGATGTTCCTAAGCCCAGAGACTGAGATCATCACAAAACCTTTGTTAGAGGCAAACTGAGTCACATCTGTTGGCTGCCAGATTTTTAGTTTTCTTTGAAAGATCAAGTGATTGCCATCACTAGAGACAAGATACTCGCCTGGAAAGCCCCAGCAACTGCATCAAGTCTTTCACATC